TTGTGTGCTCTCATGAAGCACGTCACCATGTTCAGCGAGGACATCTTCGCTGGATGCTGTTCAGTGATATTATATGTGTTTAATGTTGATTGTTTCTGGGTTCTGATGATAATACAAGCAACCTGGCAAGGTGCAGTGCTTTTCCTTGTTGCAAAGCCTAGGATTAATCTCTCTCATCTTCATCATCGATGGAGCCCGGCCGATCATCGAGAATTTCACGGAGAGCAGGCTGACGCTGACGAACTGCATNNGCGACATACTTGTCCAGCTTCCGCCGAAGCCCTTGGACCTTCCGTTTTGTTCGCAACTTTGCGGCCAATTTCGCAGTGACCATCGCCTTGGTGAGTGGCTCCGCGTTGGCCGCCATTTACTCCAACGACACAGGCCTGAGAATGTTGCAGGTGGACGCAGACTTCTCGCCGAACTTGAGCTTGTCCGATGGCAGCAACAAGCGGCCGTGGATCATTAATCCCGCCGGCATGGACCGCCCCTTCCCAGCTTGGGGTATTGCTTATGCAATCCTCCTGGCCACTTTTTGACTAGAGGAGATGTTTTTGGTCTCTTGTAGTTTGGGGCTGTGGGGGGACACATCAGTAATTAGTGTCACCTCAAGCACAACCGAGGCGATTGGCTTCGCAGTCTTGGGTTACCTCGATCAAAATCTCACCTCTGTGATCGTGAACAGGCCCTCCAACAATCTGAAAAAGCCGGCTGCTTATCACCGGGACCTTGATGACACCTCCACGATGGTGGTCCCGGGCTCGAGTACGAGAGCGAAGTCATCTGACAATCATCGCGGCCGAAGATGTGGTACACTTTGGCTGTGGGCTAGTTTAGCTTTCAGTTTACTTTGCTTGGGATGGTGCTGCTTCGGGTTCTTGCAGTGCGGTCTCAGCTTTGACCTTGGAGAACTTGCCGGTGAAGTGTGGGTTTGCTTTGCTGTGCAGGTGAAGTTTTGCGCCTTCTTGACGTTGTGGATGTCAGGTGTCATCATGATGAGGCTGGACTTTGTGAGCTCTTCAGGTCACTGTCATAACAGCCATGTTGCAAACGAGCAGATGAATCGGAGATGCAAGCAAGCTCTACGACGCTTTGCTGCTCCCCGCTCTTTAGGGCGCCCGTGGTGTGGGCGCATCCGTACTAAGGTGCGTGAAATCCCGAGTCGAGCGGAGTTTTTCTCCGCTTTGTGGACGTTGGTGCGTGCTTCCATCCGGGCTTCCAGACGCATTGGATCCCGTCGATACAGGGAGCACAGGAGATGGCGAAAACGATTGAGGAAGCGATCTGTTGGTGCCCTGGTTTATGGACTACGCCACCCTTCTCTTCGATCAAGGCGTGCGGCGGTGCCAGCCTTGTTTCAAGAACCCGGCAGGCCTGACGGAGGTGTGCGGCTTCGGCGGCACCGTTTTAGGTCTCTTAAGTTTGGTGTTTGTTCTGGTTGCCGTGGCATGCGGGACCGGACCCCAGGACCGGGAATAGTGAACAAAAGCCACACGGCAGACAAGAGTACATGTGAAGAAAAGTGCGATCAAGAGCCGGAAAGGCCCGACATTAGTGCTCTGGAGCACTGCTCTGAGGCAATTCATGTGACCAGCCCTTCCGGGCTTCCCCCAGGCCTCCCTCGCGCTCGATGCCGCCATGGCTCAGGTCGACACTTCGAGACTCTGGCTGTGCTTGGCATGACGCTGCTCTGGATACTAAGTCCATTGGGCTTGGGAGTGATTGCTCAGGAAGATGACAGGTTGACGCAGCGCTGCTCTTCGGTACTTCCTGGGTGGCGTTCTTCAGGTGATGGTGGTAGCAATGCGGCCATCTGCACTCTCGGGCCATCTGGGCGTGCCTTTCCAAGCTGGTGCTTCTCTGGCGCTGATGCGGCACGACTGGCGCCACTTGCTGCAACTCGCATTGGCGAAGCGTCTCACCCTGGACCTGGAGGCAGTCGCAAGACGACGAGGCTACGCAGGCAGAAACTTTTATCGGCTGTTCAGGGCTTGGGGCCCAAGCAACTCAAGACTGTGCTGGGGCCTGTTCTTCGCGACCTTCTTGCGGAGCTCGTGCAGGGAGAGTCGGCCTCTACTTGGAACCCGAATGCACCGGGTAGGAGGCAACATTGGTCGGAGCATGCCTCTGTGGAGGCACACTATGATGATGCGTTGTGGCGTGCTCAGGCTTCTCACAAGGATTCTTCTGAATGGTGGGAGCCTGACGATACATGGAGACGAGATTGGGGTTGCCAGGCTGCTAAGGCTCGAGCCTCGGGCCTCCGGCTCCCAGCTCTTGGCAGGAACCGGCAGCCTCCACCAGTGAGGCCCCTTGGAGGCGACCTTCCACTCGTCGTCACGCTGATGCTGGAGGGGATGCTCGCTCTTCTCATGTTCGGCAAGTTGAGCTTCGTAAGCCTCAGGCGAAGAAGAAATCGGCCGCGTCTGGGGCTCCCGTGCTCCAGGGTAGTGACGCCTGGTCTCTTTCAAAGGAGCTCTGGGCCGCTCGCTCAGGCACCGCAGGCAGTTGGATGGGTCTCTGATGTAAACGATTTGGCCCGTGAGCTTGATGCGTCGGAAGGCGTGGCATGGTGTTTTTACGCAGCGTGCCCGGAAGCTGCTGAGGAAGCCATCGACCTTGTGAAGGCTTCTGCAGCTGATGATGCCTCGCATTCTTTGACGGTCATCTTCGATGGCCATGCCAACTCTTTGGGAGATTGGGCCGATGGTGCTCAACTGCTTGGTGTACCGGGGCGGCAACAAGGTCGTCTGCTACTAAGGCGCTTGTGCGTGATGCAGATTGGCAGCTCGGCAGCCTCCTTGAGTACTCGTGCAACCAAGACGCTGGAGCCTAAGCTCAGGCCGCCAAAGCCTCAGGCTCAAAGGGCTTTGAGTGTAGTTGTGCGATTCACCTTCCATCGCGACTATTGTGCAAGATGGGATGAAGTACAGAAGCGGCCAGGCCACTTTGCTCGGCTTTGGGCCTCAGGGCTGAACATTTCGCAGAACCAGATCCTTGACACCTGGGGCTGGCAGGCTGAGGATTCGGTTAAGGTTCGGGGCCTGATGAGGTTGGCCAACGCTGCTGCCGCCAAGACCCTGTGGGAGCGCTCAGGTGCTACTGCTGCAGGCGTCACTTCTTTCATCAATGCAGTAGGAGATCGTGCGGAGGTTGAGTGCAAGGAATTCCGCGTGCATTGGGTTTCTTGGGAGGCCTCGGAATGCTTTGATGCTTATCTTAAGCGCGTGCAGAAATTGTCGAAACACGGCTTGGTTCTGGGTCGTCAGCTCGGCATCCGCCTTTCGCCAGAGGATCCCCTCCTCAAGGCTCAACCTTTGCTGTGGCGGGCCAAGGCTATACCGCTGCATTGGCAACCTGAACACATCGAGTCGTTGCTCTCAGAGATGGCCTTTGGCAACATTGAAATTCAATCCAAGCATCGCGCACGTCGTGGAGCGGATTGGCTCTTCCGTGCGACTAGGGCTGACTGTTTTCGGTGGTTCAGCAAAACCTCTTCTGGGACCCTGACGATGAAGAGGAAGCTGAGTTTGTTGTCATTCGCGAAGGGGCTCGTCGACCTCGTCAGGTTCAGAAAACTCCTTTGCCAAGCTCTCGTGCTGTGCTCTTTGCTGACTTCGCGGCTAAGCCGACTGAGGGGAAGGGTGTGCGTCGTTCCGCAAAGGCTGGTGTCGCCAGCGTTGGCGTGCCCAAGACTGCTGAGGGTGACACTTCCCGTGAGCGCCTAGGCCCTGGTGTCAAACGCTCCGCTGATGTTGAGGCTGCCGTCGTTGACAAGGAAGGTGAGGAAGCCCCCAAGTGGCGTCTTAACGCCACCCTTTGTGACAACGATGGTCAGGGGAATTGTTTATATCATGCGCTTGTTGGCGCTCGGGTTGATGGGAAGGATAGGAACCATCGGCAAATCAGAAGGTGGGTGCAGACCGTCTTGCTCCTTTACGAGGATGACTTCAGGACGATGTGGGAAAATGGGGGTCGCTACAATTGTGTGGGACGCCTGTCTGCTTGCTCCTGGAGCGAGTTCCTTAACGAGCAGGCCCAAAACTGCTCGTGGGGAGGGTTGCTCGAGGTTTCAGCCTTCGCTCGCGGGTCCGACATGCGGGCGTGGGTCGTCGATGAAGCTGCCAACGAGGTCCACCTCTTGAATCCTTCTGGGTCCAAGGGCTGTTTTGCGCTCCACTTTGATGCGAGTGCTCAGCATTACAAGCACTACAAAGACTTCATTGAGCAGCACCTGCAGGAGCGGTATGCTGAGTTAGGAGGAAAAACACTCGCTCCCGACATTCTCCTTCGCGGTGGAGGCCCTGACTCCTTGGCTCAGCGGCGTCGGCTTGTGCAAGCTGGTGTTTGTGCCCCTGCTTTGTCCGATTGTGCTTCTTCGGCTGCTCGCTCGAATACACCTCGCCCCAGTGCCCCAGGCGCAACCCTGTCTCAGCGCAGGCGCATCGTTGGCAAATGTTCCCGGCCGCCGGCTCTCTCTTTGCCTAAGGCGGCTTCTGCTCCCTATGGTGCCTTGTCTGAGGCCCGTCCTTTTGGTGTTTCTGGCGGGCGCATGCCTACTCTCTCCGACTGTGCCTCCTCTGACGGCAACACGGCCCCCGAGTTTGTCGGTTCCCCGGCGGCTGGTGTTGATGGCTTGCGCATGCCTACGCTTTCGGAATGTGCCTCCTCGCGGCTTCCTGTGCGAGGCCCTTGCGCTGAAAAGGTTGGTCCAGGCCCGGTTGTGCCTACTGCTGCTTGCTCAACGGCCGGTCCCGAGCAAGCCCCTGTTTCCCGATGTAGGCGTCCCCACTCTGCCTGGTCCTCCTCTGCGGATGTTCGTGCTCTTAGGAGTTGCAAACTTGACCAGGGTTCGGCCGTCGCTTCGGATGCTTCTCTTACGCCCACTGCCCCTGCACACTTTGCGCCAAGGCGCCGCCGTCTTCGCACTAAGACCTCATGCTGGATGTCGCTGGCGGCCCATTGTGGGCGACCAGCAGGTGCCGATGACGCGGGTGCTGTGGTGGGTGAGCCTCACTCCCCTGTTGAAGCCGAGTTGCCGGAAGTCCCAGCTTGCTCCGCGCGACTTCGTGCCTCGAAGTACTGGATTCCAGGTGATAAGTTTCGGTTTGTCTGTGAGCACTGTCCGTTTGTCAAGATCTGCAAGACTCGTCAGCAGTGTGCCTCGGCCCGCATGACGCACATGATCAGGGCACACCCTCATGAGAGGTCGCATGCTGGCAACCCTTATGTTCCCCGCCCGGTGATGAGAGAGCGGTGCCACCTCACTGACTGCGCTTGGCATTGCCCTCTCTGCCAGAAGGGTTGGGAACGTGCTGATGTTGTTGGTCGCCCCGAGAAGCTTCTCACCAAGTGGAGGCGTGAGCACAAGGATGAGGCGCATCCGGAGATTCCTCTTGCCACGTGGCGCGCTGAGCTCAAAAGGGATCCTCCGTCGCCTTCGCGCCGGCCCCGCTCCCGGGTTTGCACGCTCAACTACGTTGTGGGGAAGGCTGTCTTTGCTGTCACCCCTGCTGGGTTTACTCGCTTCACGTGGCCTCTGAAGAGACTGTGTCCCTACCAAAAGAAATCTGGTGAGCCAAAGAGGCACATACTCACTATGAGGTTGGCCTACTGTTGTACTGGCTGTGGAGCGGTTTTCGAGACACGGCGGTGTTCCAAGAGGCATACGTGTCCCACTGGAGCGGAGGGTGAGTGTCTTCCTGACTACACCAAGCGGCTTGAGAATTTGGAAGATCATCGTCTTTGGGCGCTGGACAACTATGAGGCCCATGGTGTTCCTGAGCCTACTTTGTCAGACACCTTCCGGGCGGCTCGGCTCGCTTTGGAAGCTGCTGTGGCGGGCACTCGCCATAAGCTTTCATGAGTTCTTCTGCCTTTCCGAGCTGCGCTTTCCGCGTGGCATCTTGGAATGTCCCTGCGGTGGTTAGCAAGCTTGCGTCTGTGCTCGCCATTGCTGTGGACTATAGGATTCAAGTTTTGGCCCTGCAGGAATGCGAGATCAACCGTGAGTCTCGGCTTCGTTTTAGGCAGGCTTGCCACGCTCAAGGTTTTTCGGTTTCTTTCGGTGGCGTTGATGCCTCCGGTGTCACGCGTGCTGCGGTTCTGTCTCGCCTGCCGATGCGTGACTTTGTCTTTGACTCCTCATGCCCCGAGCGTTTAGCCGCCGGCATCGTTGAGGTTACGCTTCAGCTTGATGGGCAGTCGCGTCGTTGTAAGGTTTTGGTGTCCTCCATCTATGCTCATGCTAAGGATGAGGGCCGTCGCACAGAGTTTTGTACAGAGCACCTCGATGCTGCAGCTAAGCTTCCATGCCCGTGGCTTACCCGGCTTACCCTTGGTGATTGGAATCAGTCTGCTGCCGGCACGTGCTTTAATGCACATTTCGCCTCTGGGAGGGCTCATTGTCTGGATGAGGTTTTTCCCGACCTCCCCGTTGCTACTCGGGCTTCAGGGTCTGAGCGTATAGACTTTGCTGTGGCCACCCGCGAGCTGTGGGCGACTTACCGTCAGCAGACTTTTGGTGTGGACTTTGGCTTGAGTGATCATGACTTAATCATGTATGATGTTAATGCTTGTGCTTTGGAAGCCGGGTACTTGAAACCGAAGCGGCGGGTCATCCCCGACAGAGTGCCCGGGAATTCGTTTTCGAATTCGTTTGACTTTGATGTGGATGCTCATTTTGAGCACTCCTTCCAGGAAACGCTTGACACTGGGAACACCGACGCGGCTTGGTCCCTTCTTTCTGGGGCTGCCGAAGACCTACTTGCTGAAGACCCGGTTCCTGGTGCCGTTCCCCGTGCTGCTGCTTGGGTCCCTAGAAAAGCTGTGAGACATAGCAAGGCGGCTTCTAACCGGGAGCCTGTGTCCCTGGTCCGGCTGCGCCGTGTCCTGCGTAGGCTGTTGCACTTGAGCCAGTATCCTGAGGCGCCCGGCCTTCTCCCGCGCATCAATCGTGACCGGCGGTGGCTCCTCTCTGCTCTTCCTGAGACCGTTGACTGCTTCGGTCCACTTGGTGATGTCATCATTGCTGTTCAAGAGGCTATCTCGGTGGCTGAGCGCCGTCTAGCCGCGGACCGCATTGCTGATTGGCAGTCTCGTGTGGACTGTGATCTTCGTCAACGTTCGGCTTGGATCCAAAAACATGCTGCTGGCAGGCTCAAGGACCCAAGGAGGTTAGGCGTGCTGCTACGGGTCCTTCTCCTGACGGTATCTTCGCGGAGGCAGTGCACCCTGCTGCTGCGGTTGAGGGGCAGAGGCGGGAGTGGACTCAGTTCTGGAGTAAGCCTGCTCCGTCTTCTTCTGCGCCTGCTTTCTTGCAGTTTCTCGCGGATGTTCCCGTTCCGCAGGTTCGGCATGGTCCGTTGGCTCTGTCCGTCGAAGCGCTGCGGCACGCTACTCGGGCTATGTTGCATAAGGCGGCCGGGCCTGACGACTGGTCTGCCGCTCATCTGCTCTGTCTGGGTCCTCGCTGGTGCTCCTGCCTCAGCGCTTTATGGAACGCCATTCTGGCAGGCCATGCTATCCCTGCTCGTTGGTCGGAGGCACGTACGGTTTTGCTTGAAAAGCAGGCCGGTGGATTCAGGCCGTTGTCTGTGACCTCTGTCCTCTGGAGGGCTGGCGCGAGGGCCCTGCTTCTTCAGACTCGTGAGTGGGTTGACGCTTGGGCCGGCGGTTGTTTGTTCGGCGGTCTTGCGGGACGCGGCGCTCCCAACGCCTTGAGAGTCCTGCAGCACGGTTTGAAGGCGTGTGGTGCTGAGGGTCTCGCGGTTCGCCAAGATATCCACCGGTATTTCGATGCCATCCCGATCTCTCATGTTTCGGCTCTTCTGAAGCACTTGCGTGCTCCTCCTGCCCTTGCCTCCTTGCTTGAACGGTTTTATGGACAGTGCAATCGGGTGTTCTCGCTTTGTGGCTTTTACACCAGTCGGTGGACGGGCACGTTTGTTCGTGGAATCCTACAAGGATGTCCACTTAGTCCTGTCCTGGGTGCTCTGTTCATGCTGCCATGGGTGCATGCCATGCGCAACACAGGAGTTAGGTGCTTGGCTTACCTGGACGACCGTGTCCTCTGGGCATCGCGTCCTGCTGAAGGTCCTTCGCTTTGCACTGCCCTGGCACGCACCGAAGCTTACGACAGAGTTTTCGGCCTTGTCTGTCGTCCGGCGAAGTGTGGCATCCATGCTCTCGCCCCGCACCTTGTGACTGACTTTGGTTTGCAGGCCCTTCCCTACGACTTCTCCGTCAAGTTACCGGTGCTTGGCGTGGTGTTCAACTTTGCAAAGCTTGAGGACGTTTCCCTGCTGAACTTCGACTTGGACTTGGCGTTGGCCCGTGTGACGGCGGTGGCTCGTGCGACTCCTCACTGGGTCTCACGGCGGCGTTTGCTTCGCTCCTTAGTTGTGCCCATGTACGCCTGGGCTGCTGGCCTTGCTGGCATTTCGCCTCAGGCCCTTCAGACCTTGATTCAATTAGCGTAGATAGGGAGGCCACTCAGCCGGACCTTTTGCAAAATACACATTCAATTTTGGTTCTTCGGGACTCGTCAGCGAAGCCCTTCTTTGAAGGCCTTTCCTGGCAAACCTGCTCCAGCACGGTTGGCACGACCCTATGGGTGGGGACTCAGGGGTGATTAGGCGTGTCTTCTGGGTCTTCAGCCTGCGTGCTGGATCTTTTATGTCAAAATGGTCTGGCCCATCTCCGGCCAAGCAACGCTCATCATGTGCTGAGAGGCCGAGCGCCGAAGGCGAGCGAACCTCCTGCACAAGCCCTTTGTACAATCAATTGCGTTGCCAAACCAGCTCACTCCGAATTCCCAGGCGCAGAAAGCTGGTTGCATTCTTGTTTGCTTGCAATCACCTGCTGGTGGATGAACTCATTGCATGATATGAGCCCCCAAACTTCATTGTGGAGAACAGGCTGGGACGTAATTTTGGAAGACGGCTCGATTGATAAATTCCCAACTCGATCTGCATCCCAAGGCTACGTTACTATTTGGGCTCGAGGTCTTTCGGCACAAGGGCTCAGTCCAGTATTTTCGCTTCCTTCGCAACAACCCCCAAGGGCACTATCATGGCGGAGGCCGATAAAGCACCATAACAAAAACCATCATTTACTATGTAAAACTAAACTCCATCAGCCGCGTGACGAGTGATAGCAGGAAGCCATCGCTTTGATTTTCTTGGCAGTTCATGTGTATCTACCCTAGTCGTGGGTGTAAAGCCAACACCCCATATACCCACCGTTCGCCCCTGTCGTCCTTCTTGGGTCCGAAAGCATACGTCCAAAGATTTCGCTTGGCCGAGGTTGGCCCCCCTGGTAGTGCCGCGCGGCGGCCGAGCCTGCAGCAGATGGCACGCCCCCACGGGGGGGGTTGGATATACACACATACGTCTGTATGTGTATGTGCATGTGTATATATATATACCGGTGAGTTATGTATATACATAGAGATATATACATACATACATATATATATATATATATCTGTATATGCACATGTCTACATATATGTACACATGTGCATGTCTACATATACATGATGACACACACACACAAACCTACCTACCTACATACATGCATACATGCATACAAGCATACATGCATGCATGCATACATGCATACATGCATACGTGCATACATGCATCCATACATACATACATACATACATACATACATACATACCTACAAGCATACAAACATACAAACAAACATGCAAACAAACATACAAACAAACACTCAAAACAAACAAACAAACAAACAAACAAACAAACAAACAAACAAACAAACAAACAAACACACAACCACACAACCACACAACCACACAAGCATACATACATACGTACATGCATGCATACATGCATGCATACATACATGTGCGGTTGCCGCTTCCGGGTGCCTGCGTGGAAGGTATTGCAGAAGTGTCGAGAAATTGTCTTGCAGAGGTTTCCTGGTTTCGTTCGGTTTATGAAATTCAGCCCTGCTCGGGCGGCATCCTTCTCTGGTCCATCCCCCTTGGCCCTTGCCTGCAGAGGTCCTGCTCTTCCACTAAAGGCTGCGGTATGCAGCGGTGACCCGAGGCCCGCGCACCTTCCACAGGCGGCAGCGAACAGCAGCGCCCCTGCCTCAAGCATGGAGCGACCGAGCTGCCACGGACCCCACCTCTTTGAACCCTTGTAGCACCCTTATCGACCTTTATAGAACACTTATAGACCCTTATATAACCCTTATAGACCCTTACAGACCCTGAGAGACCCTTATAGACCCTTTATAGACCCTGAAAGAACCCTCGTAATAACCCTAAACCAAGTTGCGAAACTGCGGGGAGCTTTCCGCGTTCCCGAGGAGCCGGCTATGCCGTCGGCAACAAGCGGGCCGGTTGCTCGCTTTAGGGTTTAGGGTTCGTGTTTAGGGTTTACGGTTTAGGGTTTAGGGTTACTATGAGGGTGTACAGTTTCGGGGGCCGTAAAAATTTCAATAGGGTTCTGGGGGCTCCTTATTGTACTTATAGTACAAGGGCCCCATGCTGGGTGTTCTGCGGAGTTTTGTGGGTTTTGCAGGGGTCTGGGTTCCTGGATTACTGGTGATGTTGGGCTTGCATTGTTTTTGTGTGACTGAGAAACCGAGAAGACCGCATAGACACTTCTATCTGAAGATCAGGTGCTTGTCAGGCCCGAAAAGCCCTAGGCCTTAAGCCTCAAGCCTTGAATTTTGTACGTAAACCCACAAAGTAGGCAGTCGCATGGTAGAGACCCTCCAAAACCTGATGGGAGTCCAAAACGGCTAGGTCACACACACCCTATCAAACTCCCATAAAGCCGCACAACACACCCAAGAATGTAAGGGCTTCAAGAAAAGTTACTACTTACTAGAAGGTTTGGGTTCCTTCTTGTAAATTCGACGAAGCGAAACCTTAATGTAGGAGCCTCAATAACCAGAATAGGCTTTTGGGGGCTCCTGATTATAATTATAGTACACAAAACCCAAAACCCTATTCTTATCATCAAGGCCCCTATATCATTCCACTTCCTCACGCAGGAACATGGAGTCTCCAGGTTTCCCCCGTAGGCCCGAAACCCCTTGCTGGGATCGACTCAGGTCTTCCTGACCTCCCCGATGCAGGAGCGATGTGAGCTCTTTTGCTGCATTTGTTTTTGCATTTTAGGGTTTAGGGTTTAGGGCTTTGGGTTTCATCGTGAAGGGGGGGTTTGGGTTCAGGCTACTGGGTGGGCTTATTGTTTGTTGGGCTGAAGCCGCCCCTGAAATCCCAAGGCCTCACTCCCAAACCCGGTCTGAAATCCGACAAAACCCCCTAAACCCCTAAACTCCCCCAAAAGGCCTCACGCCCTACAGCCCTAAACCCAAAACCCAAAACTCTAGACCCCCAAAAACTCAAAAGCCTATTGATGGGAACAGCACTGAGGTTTATCCGACGGCACGCTCGCAAACTTGCCCCACGCCCAGTCGGGCTCAGGCTCCCTTCTTGCTTTTGGGTTTAGGGTTCAGAGTTTACTTGTGTAACAGAGAGTTCGGTCTAGGCAGAAAACCTCTGTACGTATGGCAGAGCATGTATATGTAGTGCTAACTAAGCCTGTCGTGCCCTACATTCACTGTCCCTTTCCTTCCCTGTGCTGCTTTCAACCCTTGAGTACACCGGAAGCCGCACGTGTTTTTTGTATATCAGAACGCCTGCTTTATCAAGAGCTGCTGGCATTTGTTTTTACTGTGCCGTCATTGAAACAAGAAGCGCCTGTACGTGCTAAGATGCCCACCCTTGTACTGTACTAAACCCCAGACCCAAAACCCTGAACCCCAGACACCCTAGCCCATAGCCGCAAACCCCTGAACCCAAAGCCCTAAGCCCCAAGCCCTAAACCCAAAACCCTAAACCCCCAAAACCCCTAAACCCCAAAACCCCTAAACCCCTAAACCCCTAAACCCTAAGCCCTGATGAGCCCTAAACCCTAAACCCTAAACCAGAGCCCGGCCTACTTCTCCCTAAAGCAGAGACACCTCAGGTCGACAGGTGTGCTGCGAAACTGCTCGGGCCCAAGATGTTTCGGATCGCGAGGCAGCTGGTCAATTGCAACAATCGGTTTAGGGTTTAGGGTTTAGGGTTCCTAAACCCTAAACCCTAAACCCTAAACCATCTGAGGGGCATGAAGGATCAGACAAGGTTGGCACGATTTGTTTGGCTTTCGGGCTATCCTACAGTATACTGCATGTCTTAGAAGAGACCTACGGGGATATAAGCTGACATTATTGCTCACTCTTCTGACTCTTACAAGATCAGGCATGCTCTTTACTACTTAGCGCCCACTTAACGGGGAGCTTCAGCAAAGATTGTGATATAGGGGCCTGAATAACTAGAATAGGGTTTTGGGGCCCATTCTAGTATAATTATACAAACGGAGCCCCCCAAACCAGTATAGTACTTATTCAGAAACCCAAAACCCAAACCCCCAAACCCTAAACCCTAAACCCAAACCCTATTCTAGTTATTAAGGCCCCTGCATTAGTGAAGACCGCTGGGGGCCCCCAGCCGGCCACATTTCTTGTGCTTGCCGAGGCAGGCCATCTTCCGAGCGGCCGCCTCGGCTACTATAGGGGCCTTAGTAAGTACCTATACTATTTTGGGGGCCCTATTATATGATTATGGTATAATAATAGGCACCTATTCTAATTATTAAGGCCGCTACATTAGACTCATTAGACTGCAGCTTCATGAAGTTTCAGAGGGATCGGGCTTGTGCTTTCTGGTTCATCTAAATGATGAACCATCATCCTTGTGAGATCTTGTGGGCAGAAGCAGGTCCGCAGCTGGCCCTCTGTTCTTGAGCAACCGGGCATGCGACGGCCGTCGACTGGCTCGATGCTCTACTCTACAGCTTCAAACTGACTGCTGGTGTTTGAAGCATGTTGCAAAGCAGTGTCCTGTCTAGGAAGCATCCACCGTCTACGAAACTTAGCGAGTTTTCGACGAATAGGCTCGGGCCCAGGGGATGAGTCGCCGGTGTCGCATCCGCGCTGAAACCCATACCGGGGCGGAATGCGCTGCAGAGCCAGCATGTCGCAGGTACTGTATACTCGGGCTTACAGGGCACCGAGCCCGTATTGAATTGGTTTTGGTCTTCCACGGTTGCCGCCATGGCCCTTGCCATGCAAGTCGAGACAAGGCCAGCGCCCAAGAGTGCCAGGCCTCATGTTGTTCGAACAGACTGCCATCCAGCAGAGATGTGTTGTGCATCGTCGGAGTTCACCCATCGCCCTACAATTTGCCCTACAAACCCTAAACCGTCGCTCAACTGAGGCAGTTGTGTAGCCTCCGCACTCCGTGCCGGAGCCGCGCCAGAGAGCCGCGGGCCTCGCAATGGTAGGGGTCATTTCAACAAATGTTCCCTCGTGGTCCCTATTATATAACTACAGTGTATAAAAAGCCCCCTGTCATATTCAACCAGCCTGTGCAACTCAAGAGAGGCTGTGCGATTCGATGCTGTCTGACGAGCGAGCCGAGGCTGCACTACGGCCTCCGATCGACGAAGCTGGGGACCTATAGAAGCCAGGACGGACCGTGTCCTGCTTGCAGCCCAGACCGTCTACTTATGGCTTTCAGAAGCCATGCAGACCCAAATTGGGCCAAGCCAGCGAATACAATAATCTTCGATTGCCCTAGATCCTAGAGAAATTATTGTTTCGCGATCCGGAATAGGAATCACGGCTGTCGCATACAGCGAGACAGGGAACCCACCTCAGGCGAAGCAGCGCTGCTCGCCCGCATGCTGCCGCTGGGTGCCGGCATGTGACCGAGTTCATGACATCGTGAGCGGTGTGTATTTCGGTGTGCTCTCTTGGAATATGTTGGTATTGCAGTGTAGACCTTTTAGTCATAACGTATGATTTCACAAGGAACAGCACACAGCCTTGCCCACCACTGCATGCGTCCGCAAGGAGCGTGTGGTGCTGCTTCCAGCTGTGAAGGTTGTCCTGCTAAGACTGCTGAGGCTATTGCCGTGTGCGGCGATACTGGCTGGGGCGGCTCATGCTCAAAGGCCATTCCCAGGAACCCAATACCCCTTAATTAAAGAATATACCCTAAATCATAATATTAAGGCCTTTATAATTTAAGGAGTATTCCTTAATTAAGGGGTATTGGGTTCTTTGAGTTCTCATGTCGATATGCGAGGGGGGCCTTTCCGGTCCCTCAGTGCTTGCACGAGACAGCGAGCTTCTTGAAGCGCTCGATTTCACTTATACCACAACCTTCAACCGAAACTGCTACCACTACAGCTACCCACAGAACCCAATACCCCTGAATTAAGGAGTATACCTTCAACCATAATATTAGGGCCCCTATAATTTAAGGTATATTCCTCAATTGAGGGGTATTGGGTTCTCTGGGTAAACCATGGAAGCAGCGATCCTGCAGCTTCAAAGTCATATGGGTAGTTGTCTAAATTATGGTCCCTTTTGGGGTACCCTAAATATTAGGTGCCGTATTATAATAAGGACCCAAAAAGGGACCATAATTTTGACAACCACCCATATGGCCCCGTGATAGCTCTCACAACGCGCAGCAGGCGCCTCGGAAGACGCCAGCACCCAAAAAGGCAAGGCTCGCAGCCTTCTCCAGGATTTTGGGGTTTAGGTTTAGGGGTTTCTCCAGGATTTTGGGGTTTAGGTTTAGGGGTTTAGGGTTTCGGGTTTGGGGTGTGGTGACGTCATGTGTGCTCGCTGGTGTGTGCACACTCAGGACGCTGGCACTTGTAGCAGACAGCCCACCCCAAGACCGCCCTGAGTTCAAGCATTTTAGGGTTTAGCTCTAAAGTCTTCTAGGCAGCGCAGCAGGGGCTTAAGGCCGCATGTTGGCTTTGCTTTCGCTTCCGGAGCCCTGGGCCTAGCACAGGTTACGCTCGGTGGCCATGGCCGCCGTGGGGAGCTCGTTGGGCTGGGGCTACTTAACGTTTTGTGCTTCGTCTTATCGTGCTTTGCTGGGTTTGAGTCGTCTTGCAGGGTTCTGAAGGTTTAGGGTTTGAGAGTTTTTCAGGGACTACGGGTTTTAAGTTTTAGCGGGCCCGGCGGCTTTGTGATAGCATTACGGTTTTGGGGGATTTGACGAGGTTGGTGTTTACGTTGTTTGGGTTGGGCTTTCGGGTTTTCGTGTCAGGGTTTCCGGGCTGCCCAGGCATACGAGCCTTCAGTCCAGTCCGCGAAACCGTAAGCCCGAAAAACAGCCTGGAGCCCAAACCGTAAATCCAGTCGCCAAGCACCCATGGCAACTCAGGATGTCTGACTCCCCCCAACCCCTGCAAAAGCAACAGCCGCCCTGCTGGCTGTCCCAATGACCCACAGGGCACTTGAGCACAGGAACTGCAGCTTTGCAAGGCTCCTGAAGCACCGGAAGCCCTGAACCCATCCACCTAAAGCTCCAAAACGAGAGCCGCTTCTTTGCTGATTGCGGAACCCTTATAGTAACGAAGCCTCGTAACGCAACAGTGCCGCTCTTTTCGGAACATTTAGAGTATCCTTTTTGGAAAGCCTCCCAGTAGTGCCGCTTTTGTCGGAGCCCTGAAAGAGTAATGTAGGGGCCTAAATGCTTACAATACCATTTTTGGGGGGTTCCGTATTACAATTATAGTATAATGGGCCCCAAAATCCCATTCCAAATTATTAAGGGCCCTATATTACCCCTAAGCCGTAGACCCTAAACCCTATTCTAATTATTATTATGTCCCCTATATCAATCCCTTTTAGGAGGCCTAGTAGTAGCCGATTTTAAGAGCCCAGGCAGATGAGGCCTCGAAGCTCGTGATGTGCTTCGACTTCGACGGGGCCCGGGGCCTCAGAGGTCTCATCCTTTGGGATTGAGTGAGGGATTTAGGGGTCTTGGGGGCTTTTTAGGGGTTTAGGGTAGAGGGGTTTAGGGATTTAGGGGTTTAGGACTTTAGGGTTCAGGACACTAGTAGGCAGAAATCAAGAGCGAGGCATGCCTCCGAGGGCTCCTCCATAGGTCTTCTTCTAAAAGGGGCTCCAACAGGGTGACCATAGCTCTACGAGGCTTACTATTCGGGTTTCTATGAGCCCCTAAACCCTGAACCCTAAACCCTAAACCCTAAACCCTAAACCCGAAACCCTAAACCCTAAACCCTAGGGGCTCTACGGGTTCTTTGTGAAACTCGGGAGCCCCTGCCACCAGGTGGTTTGTGACTCTGTCGACGAAAGCACCACCGCTGCCGGGGGGCCCCGGGGAGAACTTCTTGGGGCCTTCGGGTTCCCTCCCAGAGAACCCAACACCCCTTAATTGACGGAATATACCTTAAATTCATAATATCAAGGCCCCCTATAATTTAAGGTACATTCCTTAAAGGGGTATTGGATTCTCTGGGTTGTCATCGTTTTAGTATCATGTGCCCCAAAGCCCTTTTCTAACTATTAAAGCACCTATATTAGGTTATTAGGCTATGAGCATTGCCGCTTTCATGATTCTTTTAGCCTGGGAAGTTGCTTCGAGTCTTCTTCGAGTTGCAAGGGTTGCGCTGTCGGCGGAGGCGCTTTGTGTAAATCTGCGACTTTGCAAGTTCAGGGAAGACGGATGTGTCGAGGCTGGAACAGGTTGGGTGTGGTGCGGGTTATTTAAGGGGGGAAGCTGCTTTCAAAGTCACTGTCGTAGTCATCGCGAGCATGCTCATCGCCACGTTATGGTCATGGTGTGCTAAAACAGTTAACATAGGGGCCTTCATGATTAGAACAGGGTTTTGGGGGTTCCTTATTACAGTAGTTCGAGTATAATATACCCCCCAAAACCCTTAATAAGCCCCTCCATTGCGCCCTAAGCCCTAAGCTGCAGACCACACCGGGAAAGTGGTGCTTGAAGCTCCCGGTCTCAGGGGCCTAAACAATTTTTGTGGTTCCTTATTATAAATAAAAGGTTTAGATTATGTCCTGAAAGTGCAAGGTGGCATGGCATAGGCCGGACACTATCGGAGCTTGATCGTTTCCGGGCTCAAGTGCATCAGTTGAACCTGTTCGTTTGTGTTCTAAGGCCTCAAACTCCCAAATGTTTCGGTTAAAGGTCGCATTGCTAAGCGCACTTTCTGAAAACTGCTCACTTGATCAAGACTCCACCGTGGGCGAGCTGAAGATTTTGGCCCAGCAAACTTTTCGGTGTGGATTCCTCGGGCTTGTCACCGCGGAGGGGCGTGTGCTGGATGACTGACTCAAGAGTCTTTGGTGAATGCAGGGCTGCAAGAAGGAGATGAGGTCACAGCGTTGGTGCTGCAACCAAACCTGACTGGAACAAGCAAAAAAAGAGTTTGGAAACGCAGCTTTTGCGTTGTGGTTCTGTGGATGTGACGAGGTCTTTACATGGGGCTTTCAGGACTTTGGCGGTGACAGCTCGGCGGTTCAAAGTCAGCTGAAGGGCGTGCCGCAGCTTCAGGCCACAGCTGGTGCCTCTGCTGCCATTTTGGCAGATGGATCTGTGGTTTCTTGGGGAAAGCCAGACTGTGGTGGTGACAGCTCCGTAATTCAAGGGCAGCTTCTCTATGGATGTTGAGAACAGACAGACATCCTCGTGCTCTTTCGTAAAAGGATGCAAAGACAGATCTTCAGGAACCAGGATGGAGAAAAACAGCACGTCTGGGCACATGAGAAAGCTCTTCACCAATACGGGAGTTTCCGAAAATTGGGGACCCTAATATAGTACCCTAAATAATTAGTAAGACCCTTATTATACGGCCCCAAAATAAGGTACCCTAATTTTCGGAAACTCCCATAAACCGACCTCTAGCAGCATTGGCCGAGCGGGGATGAGTTTGTCCAGGCCAGGGCATGGGCCCCCAAACCCTTTTCTAATTCATTAAAATGGGGTTTTTTCGGATCCTTCAAAGGGTTCCTTAAACGGTTGTATAAGGGCTGCTATAAGGGTATAGGGTATAGGGGCCTTAATATTCAGGCCCCTATATTAATCCTTTGCAGAACACTAAACCCGCTAGCTTCGACACCTTGTGAACCCATGCCCGACGTAAGCTCTAAAGAGTTTGTTTAGATGGGTGTCAAAATTATGGTCCCTTTTTGGGTCCCTAATATAATACGG